ACGAAAAATTAATAAACTTTAAAAAGATTTTATAAATTTCAACAAAAAAAAATAATAAGTGTCCGTAGATTACCTTCAGACGATGTTTCTTTGAATGAGAGATAGAAAAGTCTAGAATGGTTTGGTTTTCCAAATATTCGTTCTTGATGTATCTAAATCTTATTAGGTTTTTCAATAATAAGGGCTATGGTTACATGAAAAGTTGACTTTTGATTCTGTTGATATCTCAAACAACTCTCTCTCCAAGACATTAACTATGAAATATTCTTCAGTTGCATATTAATTTTTTATACATTCAAAAATCCACTAGCTGTGAAGGGATGACAAAAAAAAAGAAGCTTAATGATAATTGTTGTCGAAATGAATCTTTTTATTTTGTTTAGTAATATAATTCGCTTGACACAGATTTGCTTTTCTATGTGCATCAACTGCTTCCATTAATGATTACTAAGTAAAAATAAATAATTCATTAAATGGTTTTTCTCATTTATTTATTGTAAACTAAGTAAATAATCAACAGGACAAATAATAATATTCACATTTATACTACTTTCAGCTTGTAAATGAAGATAATTTTCAAATTCAAAATAATATTCTTCACATAAAAATTGACAAAAACGAAATAGTGATATTATAAAATCAACATCGTGTAAGTTCTTTTCTCCAGTCATGCCTTCCAATTTATCCCAGTAGTGTTACTAATGAAGTAAAACATCGAACATCTTTTATTTCTTTTAAATAATTTAATATTCACTAAAATGAATTAAAAACTAATAATATAGAAAATATGAAAATTAAAATTTACTTTTCGAACTTCTCATATTACCACTATGTAATCATAGTATACCACGTTGTAATGTTCGTTGAAGCATTTCGTTATTTCTACGTTAATATTTTTGAATTGTGTATATATTTCAAAAAAAAAAGAGAAGAAATCAGATGAATAAAGGAAATATTTTTGCTTATATTTACTAGAGTAATTTTTGTTTTTTCATTTTTTGTTCTTTAATTTAGATAGACAATATAAATTGATTACTTTTTAAAAGAATATCAAGTATTGAATTTTTTTATGCTTCATTTCGATTATTTTATCTGAAATGATTTGACTTCTTCTACTCTATCATTCTTACTCATCGTTAGCAATAACATAACTCATTAAAAAAAATACTTATATACACATTGACTCACAAATTTTTCTTAAAGGAAATGTTTTGAAAAACTCCAAATCCAAGTTTTTCAGTTTCTAACATTCATCAAAACATGAAAGCATTATAAATTAAAGTATGAGTTGAATTCCAACGGAGGTTTTCTTATTTATTTTGGTTAAGAAATAGTTTACTCTATCATTCTAGATAAATCAAATAGAATGCAATTGTATATTCTCGAAGTTGTGAAAAAAAAACTAATTGTGAATTGTTCAGGAATTCTATCCTTGGAAAATATCTGTTGAAAACACAAAGTTTCTATTGAAACTTTTATTTGTATTCTTTGTAGTTTTCACAACAATGAAAAAGAAATCTAATCGAATGATTTTACGATTCATTGTATATGTAATTGAAAAAAATTATGCAATAGTTGCGGCTCCATTTAAACATTGTAATAATTAGTTTAATGGTTCTAATTTCATTGCTATTGTTAAACTTTCAGTTTGTTGGATGTGGATATCATCTTGTATCAACTGAGATCCACACTTTTTTTTGTCTATTAGCCTTGGAATTTACGATTGTCAAAACGTTTTTTTTTTGTATTCTCATCTCAAAATTTGAGCTCTATACTTTCGAAAGATGTTTAACTAATTTTCAAGTTTATTTCATAGACTTAACTAAATAAGATATCAGAAATAAGTAAATTATATAAATCTTTGTTTTTTGCATTTTATCTGAAATAAAATATTCTCAAAATAAAATTGTATTTTCAATTATGTTATGACTTCAACGATTTTATGTTTAGCTTATTGAACAAGTTCTTGTTCTCGTTCACCAAATGTATTTATTTCAATAGATAATAAACGTTTTATACAAGCACTGTTTAAGGATGTAAATTTTTTCTTATCAAAGCGTCGTTTTTGTTAGTAGTTTTATTTGTTATTTGATTTGTTCCACTTGATACTAATCTATTTGCATTGTAACAAAAATGAAGTTCTTCACATTTAAATACTAGAAAAATGAAAGTTAAATAATATATTAGATTTGTTTTATTCTTGTAATATGATGCGAAGTACTATACAGTCTAACTGTACAGATTTTCGTCTTATAGGAACATTTTTTTCTTTCAATAGAATGGTGATTTTGAAATCAAAAATCCTTATGCGATTCGAATTGGACAAAAGATCGCAATATATTGATAGGATGTGATATAAATAAATGTCCCTCTGTCAGCAATATGGATCAGATCTTACGAAAAATTTTTTAACAAGTTAGTGGACTGAACATTTAGAAATGTTCTTTCGTCAAATTCTAAAAATCTATAAAGTACTCAAAAGTTCCTGTGACATATTGGTAGCTGTCTATCGTTGCAGGTATTCTCAACTGAGCACCTTTGATAGGGACTAGATCAGATGTTGTTGACATTTTTCAAAGTTTTGTTCATGTCGCAAATCTTATGGAAATCTATATTTTATAAACAGAGAAGTCTCCATTTACTTTAGGTTTATATCAAGCAAAAAATACTTTAACAATGTTATTATATAATTCTTCGGCTTATTTATCGCTATTTTTAAGCCAATATTTAATTAATAATGGCCCAAATGTATAAATATCAAGAATAAAAATTTCATTATCCTAATACAAAGAAAATTCACAAATAAATTGTTTTACTTTATTTTTACCTTCATTAAATCTCTTTCAGACGATTCTAAACGAGTTGCATTTTTTAATGATTGTTCTTTTGTAAATAGATCTTAACATTTTGATTTTATACGATGTGATAAAGGTAAAAAATCTGATTCAATAAGACTTGTTCATGAATTAAAAATAATTGTTTGAGTATGAACTTTTAAAAAAATCATATACACATATTTACTCAGTATGAAGCTATTCTGACTGACCTATATTTTTAATGTGGTACATGTGCTAGAGATTCTACAAATCTAGCTTTAAGAATGACTGAAATCCCAAAATCACATAGGTTTTCTCGTAGTACTAGTTGTGAACAGTATCTATTGAAACTATAGCTAACAAAACCGTATTTGCTAGTCAGATAAATCCTTTTGTTATCTTTCATTATGGCAAAAACTGATCTGTAATATTTATCTATTTAAAAAAAAATTAGCTAGGTGAAATTGAATAAATACATCTATTTCAATTGTTAACTATGATATACAATTTATGTATAGCCTGAGAATTCTTACTTTTTACTTACAGAATTGTCTATATTTGTAATAAATAAATGTTCGTACAAACTGAAGTTTCAACAGCATCAATATTGTTACTAATTAATTTTAAAAACACTCTGTAATATAGAATTCATGTGAGTTGCTGAAAAATTAGTTATCTATGATCTAATGAACAATAAAAATGATAATCTTCAAACTAAAAGAAAAACAAAACTTCATAATCAGTTATTTATTAAACTTTTTCTAATCCCATTGACCACTAATATAATAGATAAGAATCAAGACATGAAAGAATAATTGCTACAACTTATCGAGCATCGTCATATTTTACTCTTGATTTACCATATTCTTCAATATCTGCTATTAATTTCGTTCAATTAGGTATTGTTCTTGAAATATTTGTCAGAACATCTATTTAAATATGAAAATTATTTAATTTCATTTTTTTCAAGTTAAAAATTATGTCATATTTTTACCATGAGTTTTGGGTGGTAAAATGAACTTAGATAATCATCGACTAATGAATGCTGAAGATTTAATTCTTCAATAATCCATTCTCTTGAAAAACAGCATGTATATCATTTATTATAAATTACAGATTTGAAAAATCGATAATTTTACCGATCAACGCATTTTCTTCCTTTCGTTCCAATAATCTGTAAAGCATTTAGAATTTTATAACCAGTCAATTGAATTTCATTTTCTACGAGACAAAACATTAGTGACCTTATTCATTAATGTACACTTTGTATTAACACTGAGATATAATCAGTCTATCTATCCATGTGTTGTAAAACATTTTTCTACTACTGATAAGGTAATCATGTAAAGTGAGATGTTCTTTTTAAACTTATATTGTGATAGTATTGTTAGAGTTTTATCTATATGAAATGAGATATTAGCAGAGTAATTAAACAAATGAATTTCAACTTTGAAATTTAGTCTTTTACTAGATTCTATCATTTGAAGAATATCCAAAAAATTTCAAGCGTTATTGTTTAATGTTCGAAAACGGATTTGGCTAACAGTTAGAATAAAACTAGAAGAAAAAATCAGATCTAAACTGTGATAGAAAGAAACTGTCTTTTAGATAAAATACCATAGAGTATTGACGATTTTTCTTTGATGTTTATCTGTACTTTATGAAAATCTCTGGTAAGATCTCATATTAAAATAAGTAACCATCTACTAGAGAATATAAATCAATCGTCTCATAATAGAGTCCACACATCACTAAAAATGCTCTTCAAGATTCACTCGCATTTGAACACAGTGAAACATTACCACACAAAAACTATATCGAAGTTCATCATCTAAATGCACAGACTGAAGGTCAATGACTACCAATTTATGAGTTTTTGTTTTGATAAACAAGGTAGCGTAAGGCGGCGTACCCATCACGATTTACTACCATGAGTTGAGAACAAGTTGGCTCAATTTATTGATAAAAATAATTCTTATGAGGCAGGTGTCACATTCTGACACTTATCATTTATTCTAACTTTAGACTAATTATTCTTCTTATGAATGTCATACCGAGTATATCTACATCATCATTATACTTTTTCAAATGATCAAGTTATGATATATAAGCGAGACTAATTGTTCCACGTTGTCATGTTCCTTTCACACTAATATAACGTTTTTGTTCGAGATTTTCTACAGTTTAGTTAAGATCTTCAACAATATTATTAAATAATGGTAATAATGAAGCACGAATCATTTCTTGACTATTTTTCATTACAGAATCGAAAAAACCATCATACATAAAGTTAATAGTACATAAAAGTACTTTTAAAAAACGAACAGTTATATTAAGATCATGTTCAAGTGCACTATATCTTTGTCGAAGTAAAAATGATAATTTACAAAATAAACTACAACTCATTTCATAGCTTCTACCAGTTTTTAATGATGTATCAATTTGAAAAAAGTTTCATGTAAAAAAAATTTTAAACTCAATAAGATCTTGATAAAATTTTTAATCTTTTTTGTTTCTTTTTTAATCAATTAGCAATTCAAATGGAATAAGTCGATAATGAAGATCACCACCTAAACAACATGAAAAACTAAATTTGAATCAAATGATTAGATATAATTACTCATTGCAACAAGACGATCTTTTAATTATTTTCCCCCTATTTCATGAATATTTCGAGCTAAAGCTTCAGATAATTTCTAGAAGAAAAATTCCGAGATATGTGCTTTTGAATTTCCTTCATTTTCAATTATGCTTGTTTTTTATAATCTGCATATCTGGATTCATTGTTACACTATTAAAATCCAATGCGTGTGGAGCATAATCCGATACATTTTTATTCTTGAAAATAAAAGAACAAATTGATTTATTTTGCTTGTTTATAAATTGAATTAAATTATATTTTTTGTTTTTTTTTCGTTCTAATAGATTTTTAGCAATACGAATCGTACTTGCATCTGTCTTTTCTAAATAAAATTGTAATTTTCAATAGATTTAAATGCTTCACAAATACGATCTTCAAGTTTAACTAACAATATCCCATAATTAAATATATTAAGCACAAAGTAAAAATCAATAGAAATATATGATTAAACATTCGATCAAGAAGTTTGTAAGATTTTAAATGAGAATGTTGCCAGTATTTGTCATTCATTTGTTCACTATATGTTCAATCTTGTTCGATCTAAATTAAAAAGTATAAAACTCTAAAACATATTTATTTTCTAATCTACTTTAACAGAAGACCATTGATCATGAGCTAGGGTGTGGGATGGGTGCGTGGATCTGGGTCTGGATGTGGATGTTTTTGTTGAGGTTAGTGTAGGTAAAACACCCACACCCAAAGCAAATGAAATAAACCATAAAAAAATGTCTTAAGTAGCAACGAACGCATTCATACATTCTCCATAGTCTTTCTTTATTCATCCACAAATAAACAGGACTTAAATAAGCGATTATATTGTTAATGTATAAAAACATTTACGTACTTCTAGCAATGATCAAGTATATCAAATTTAATGTAAAGTGAATATTTCTCCTATATTAAACATCTATGATGTTATTAATCTTGATTATTCACCACTTTCCAAAGACATTCATTTAACAAACCACTTTCCTTTTTATTTCATCTGATTTATCAAATGTGCCTCGATCTCTTCCACATTTTTCAGCAGAAAATATTATTTTGAATTTAAAATTTATGCATATTTATAATAATTAAAATCATTCGGCCTCAGAGCAGAGATACATAAAGGACAAGACGTCACGATTTCTGCATTTTTTGTGTCAGTTAGATCAGTTTTCACAGGTTGCAAAATACCTAGAGTGAGAATTTTACTTTTAATTTCATTTTACAAAGCGAATATCACCCGATAATATTTTCTAACTAATGCATTTTATCGTATTTTCAAGCAAAAACAAAAATATTAGAGATGAGCACAGGACAATGCTTTTTTACTCGTTCTGTTCTGACCTGACGAGCGGTACGACAGGATAAAAATGAAAATCTCGTTCTATCCTTCAGGACAACATAGTAGGATCATCCTGTCCTGCGCTCATCTCCGGCTCAGACACATGAATTCAAATGAAGATTAGTCTTATTTACCTTTGGTTAAATTTTTAAAAATTCTCATTTTCGATTCTGTTCGGTTTAAATTTTGAAAAACTTGAACCGTGTCCATCTCTATCCCACGTTTCTGTTTTCTTCTGAACTCAAAACATTTCAATGGTATCTGGTACAATTTCTTTTTTAAAATATGAAAAATACTTTTCTCTCTATCTTTCAATTTTTCCTGTATCTCATTTGTTACATATCTTTAAACTTATAAAGAGTGTCACTTTTTATCAAAATTATCTGAAAAAGTAACAAACAATATCAAGAATCATTTTATGCACGAAAACGTTATATCATTTATTCGTTAATACCCATCTTTAATTGTTGATTCCACATATTAATAAAGATATCTTGAGCGTGAAGATGGTGTTTTCGTTTCACACCCACATCTTTATGACCACCCAGTGTTAATACGTGCTCTATGTTTTCAATAAACAGTTTTGTTATCTTCTTAGTACGATTTTTCAAAATACATATTGATCTCTTCCATATCGAATTAACAAAGACTAAATTTCTTTTTGTCTGCATGTTCGTAGATACATTTTCTTTTCTTTCAGGAGTACTAAACTCGTAATCACTATGTACATAGACCTACAAGTAAACCAAAATTGGAAACGTTCGCTTTAAGTAAAATACTTTGAATTTAACTCGATAATGCCGAAATCAATACTGATGTATATTCAAAAGAATTGTCTTTCTTAGTAGCAAAAGATACAATAGATAAATTGATTATTTTATTTCTATCTCAAAATTCGGTCAATGTATATCAATTGAAACAATAAATTTTTTATCGATTATTTTAAGCTTTGTAATTATTTACGAAGAATTATCTGATCTAAATGTTCTTTCATTTAGCAAATCACATTGATAAACGAACTTCCCAACAATCTTATTCCTATTTTATATTTTGAACTTTTTTTCGATTCTTACAATCCGAGATTATTTAACACATTGCTATTTTGCTTTCAAATGTGAACTCTTGACAGATATCTGAAAAATTATTCAAAAATACAAAACTGAAATATAGTGACGAATTTATGATTCATAAAATGATTGCCGTGAATAATCACTCTCCATATTATCATTGGCTTGTTTTTATCCTTTTTCTCTTGTACTCATATTTATACATATTTGTTTCTTTATTACTCATCAGCCATTCTTGGTTAATCGTTGCACTTATCTTGCTTTTACTCTTTGTTTTGTACTTCATCGATCAATGTTTATAGAGAAATCATACAATGAATCCATCGATATCTACTCTACAGTAATCGAACTATTTTATTCGATAAAACAAAGAATGTAACAACATTATATCCTTGATTATTATTTATTCTTTTCCGTTTTCTCTTCCCATTGATACGAACCAATTAAATAATCTTATTTAGGGCGTGGGTATTATTATTCTGTCTAATCACACCCACACCCCAAGTATAGTGAAAACATAATGTGTATAAGACGAAAATGGGATCTCAGAGATTTTCATTTTGGAAAAAAACAATACAATATGATATATTCTCTATCAGAGAGCAATTAGAATTTTTAGGGTGGGTGTGAGGAAGTCTTGTTGCAGGCAGCACCCACATCCCTCGTCCTTGAATAGCGACAAAAAACACGAACACAAATTATTTGTATAATTGATATCAATTTGACGTGTATATTTTCATCTTCCAAATAGTAGTTGCATTCGTATTCTTGTTCAACATCCATTTCAAAGATGTCTCGCCAATCACTGCCTTATAGAATTCTTTCTTGTAACCTCTTGATGGTAAAACATAGAGAGTAAAGCCAAGAACTTGTGGAGCATATGAAAGTCAATAAGAACAAAGCAATATATGACGTTGCCAATCATTCAATTGTGCACATGCAAAACTGAATGTAAAAATGGTTTGGGACAAAGCAGAGAGGATAATTATCATGGGAGTGATATAGAGTTCTTTCTGAATTTCAAATTGCTTTTTCAACACTTGACCAAATGTAATTCTCTGTCCAATCGTCTTCGTTCTACTACGTGTAACCAGAATAATCAAGCAAGTGATACAAATAATTTGAATGAAGAAAGGAAAGAGATGATGAAGGAGTGTAGAGCAGAGATCCGCGAGTCAGCCAAAAAAGCGACTCGCCACCGCCTCGTCATGATGGCGAGTTGCTCTTCGCTGCCTCGCCTCGCCTCGCCTTCTCAACCTTGACTCGCCACCGCCTCGCCTCGCCTCGCCTCGCCTACGATCTATCATAAAAATGGCCTTTTTTAGGCAGTTTTTCGACCACCCACAACAATCACTATCCTTTGTATTTCTTAATATCAAATTAAGTACATTTAATACATATAAATAAGTACAAAAAACAAAATTACAAAATGAGATACAAATAAATAACAACCATGTTAAATTCACACTGGGAATTGTATAAATGAAATCGTTCGACTAGACCGAACAGATGAATGTATATGTCGCAGTAGAAATTAAAATTCTCCTAGTAGAACTTAAAATTTTAATTTTTACTAGTAAAAATTAAAATTTTAAGTTCTACTAGGAGAATTTTAAATTCTACTAAATTTTAATTTCTACTGCGACATATATATAGTTATTCATACTCATTTATTGTCTCGGTTAGTTGAACTTCATCATCAATAGAAATTCTTAAAAAAGTCTACAATAAAATCGAGAGATATCGTTAGCGATTTACTATTTAATCACTAAAAATTATATTGCAAGTAGGCGAGTTGACTCGGCGAGTCTCAAAACCAACTCGCACTCGCCTCGGTGCGAAAAATGCTGCCTCGCCTCGCCTCGTGGCGAGGCGAGGCGAGACGGGGAAACTCGGCGAGTCTCGGATCTCTGGTGTAGAGATTCGATTGTAGCTTGAGATCCAATCTGTGTCAAAGTTTGTTACGCAAATTGATAAACCACTGGGAAGATGTTGAATAGTTGTATAATAGATTATTTCATGGACATGCATACCAAAGAGAACGATCAATGTGGAATACTCATTTCAATAGCTAGACGAGGATTTTTTAGAGAAGATGAAGTTGGAAAGAGAATTATCAGAAGACGACCAATAGTGATTCAACTTGTTAACCAATAAACCGATCGTGTCATAACAGAAAGAAGATAGGAAATTGCTTTGCATGATCTAACATCAATAATTCCCATAGTGATTTGAATGAATTTGAAAAACAGGCAAAACAAAGCAATTTTATTGAGAAAACCTACCATCAACAAATAATTACCAACACCAAATTTTCGAGGTGCAGGCCGTTTAAATGTGATAAATGAACACAGATTACTAAAGAGACCAATGATAACAAGAAGACAAACTATGGAGGCATAGATGATCTTCACTTTTGCCGAGTTATTGGCAAGAAGTGAATCAAGAGTGAAGCCAAATGCTCGCATGTTAAATTCACATCGTTGTCCTTGATGACAAGAAGAGCATAGGCATGTGAAATCATTGGTATCTTTTAGATCACCTTGAAGACATTTTCCTCCAGACAGACATTGATCATATTCAATATCGAGGATGAAACATTCGGCACGATAATGATCTTGTTGACAAACACAGAAATAGTTTTTATCATAAAAACACAAACGTTGTGGGTCGTCTCGACAGATATGATGATATTTGAAGACTGAAGCAATATTTTGATCAATTTCTAAAAGTGAAAATTACTTCATGTGAATATTTTCATTGATGAAGAAACTGACCTTCGGGTAAAAGTAATGAAGCGTGTGGACAATATTCTGAAGTTGAGGTAATATTAATCTTCGATTGACCAACCAAAAAATATATGAGAAAATATTTTGCATGTGATAAATCCTCATAAATTTTGAGAAGTCCAAGTGTGGGTGCATGGATACCAGAATGATAGTGTCTAATTAACTGTGGCAAGCCCTTATATAATTGCTGATGTTCGATGACAAGCTCAAAAGAATGGCTTATAATGTAGTAAAGTTGAACAACAGTAGCACGAACAAAAACTTGCTTTGTGATGTTTAAATCAATACGAACAGATCTTTCTCGAGTTGGCAACGAGATCCATAAAACCATTGTGAACAGATGCATTGATAGGGATTTTTGCCACTTGAATCATACTTAGGAAAGCAAGTTCCATTATTAAGACATGAATCCACCATGCAACCCTCGTATTATAAATTACATCGTGGTCCAAAATAATTCAATGGACAAATGTAATAAGGTTTGTTTCTTTTCGTTTGTAGATTAGAATCATGAGGTTGACAGAGTGCAGTGATTGAGCAAAATGTTTCACAAAGAGGATCGTACATGCTGCAATTTGTTCCAGAGTATCCCCTTTTGCATGTGCAATAGTACGAATTATTTTGATTGAAAACTGGCATGCAGGTGGAATTCTCATTGCAATTATTTTGCCAACAAGGATCAAATGTTGAGTTGCTAAGCCAAGATGGAAATTTCAAAACGACAGCCAAGCGAAATGCTGGTAGATAATCGAAATAAACTGGATAGTGCCAAGAGCCAATTTCTTCTACGCTATTGTTGTTTCGAAGAACAAAAACATTAAAGTGAACTGAATATGGATGATTATGTATCACATCACTTCGATTGAAATAGCGTCTTTGTTTATGCGCAAGCATTTCGATAGAACGTGAATAGAGTAGATAAAATTTATGTTTGATGATCTGGTTTCTTTCCAATATTGAAACAACATGAAATTCATGATGATCAATGATTCTATTATTGAAAAGAGAATTATCTATGATTTTGAACGTGCTATTCGATATTGTCTTCGATAAGGTATTCTGGTCGATTTGTGCAATAATACTAATTCGATCGTTGAAGAATTGACACCAATCACCATAATAAGTAGGTGGACATAAACATCGAGTTTCATTCATTTCAAGAACAGCGATACCTCAATTACATTGATAGGAATGGACTTTGAAAGACTGATCATCTCGAAAATTGATAATGGATTTTGATAGCTGATCTTGATTAGTCTTCAGCATACTTTGAAATGGGTACCATATGTTGAGCAAAAGTTCATTGTGTTGCTTTAAAATATTCCTCTTGACGTTGCGATATGTCAAATGATTACTGATTGTACCAGATGGACACCAATATTCATCTTCTCCATAAAAACAATCAGATACTCCATTGCATCGTGCATTCTTCTTACATAGATTGTCAGTAAGACAAATAAAATCGTTTCGTTCAGAGCATGATCCATCTTTATCTCGATGGTGTGAGCAAACGATCTGAGTGCAGTTACTCAATTTATTGCAAGCTTTTGTGTACTGCATAGAATCATTTACGCAACGCAAATGAAAACCCCACATGTCTTTCATGTTCCAATTCGCTGAGAATGTATTTTTTCATCATAAGCATTGTAACAATCTTCCACGTCATCACCAATCTGAGTAAGATTAATACATGGATGATTCAATTGAATATTCAATGGATTTGATACTCTAGACAGATAACAACCAAATTCAAAAGACGTATTGCAAATATTCGAAAATGGTGATTTAGAATATTGTTTTCGACATCTTTCAACATAAGAATATAAATTTGATAACCAAGCATTGTGACCTGACCATTTCTCAATGAGCACAATAGCTTCTTCATCGGACGCATCTGAGCAATCCCATTCACCATCACAAACCCAACTGAGTGGTATACATTGTCCTGTTTTACATCAATATTGATTATTCTGACATATCCAATATTCACATGAGGATGGCATTTCATCAATATGTTTGTCCAAATCCCAAAAGCTATTACAATAATGTCGAAATGGCATACGCTTTCTTGATTCTTGTTGTTGAGAATTAATGAGCGACTTATTGTTGTTCGAATTTCTAGTAGATGATTGTTGAATATATGCTTTCACAAGGTCACAACCAATAGTTCCTCCTTTAGAACATGCAATTTGATTTCGAAGGTCAGGACCGGTACTATACCAACTTTCATCATACCTATTCGAACGTTCAGCACCTCCTGTACCCAACATTGTTAGTGAAAGACATTTGTATTCATCATTAAAGCATTGAAAACGATATCGTCCTACATTTTCTGAGCAATAGTTCTTGTCTAGACCCATTCTTTCATCTTGTTCATCAAGGCAATTTGAAAATCCATCACGAATTCGATATTGCGATATGCATTCTCCTGAAAAGGTGCATATACCAGGATTGACAGCATATGGATGACCATTGAGTGTTAATGAATCATTCCAACAAAACTTATCATTTTGATGAGGTGACAAAAGATCTCGATATCTCATGTTAGAATTCTCGATTTGACAGAGTACATGATTCAGATGTGAAGTAGAGAATGGTGCAAAATTCATCATTAGTGGGATATACTGTTTAGTCTGAAAAAAATAGCCTCGACATTGTACACCTCCGGAAAATAGAAAAAACTGAACAGTTGGATGTTCCATAGAGTGAGTGTAGTTGTAAAAGAATATAAAATTTGCATTAATTAATCCTTCTGACGGATAGATAATAAAACAATTAGATTGTGGACATAGACTCATCATTATTTGCGTACAATTTTGATGGTTACATGGGCAATCGTGTTCGAAACCTTTTGATAAAATACATCGAAATAGATATCGGAATTTTGCATCATCGGAGAGTTTTGATACATGAATCATGTCCCATGGAGGATATCGAGGATCATCGTAGTCTTTATCTGGCCAACAAAGTCCATTTTCTAGTGTCCAAGCAGGTCGATGTAGACTTACTTCACACATGTAATTTAGATTGCGCTTGCTGAAACAGTCATTATTTGCTTTTACGAATCGTTGAAATGCCATTCGAGTTATCCATTCGATACATTCTCCATCACCACATGAGTACATATTACTAAAACATAAATGTTCATCGCATTCAATTGCGTTCGGTTCGAATGGACACGATGTTCCAGAATTAAGAAAATATTCATCACTCCAATCCATACAATCATAATCACCTATGAAAGCGATTATTTCAATATGAATTTCTTGGTAAAAATCTGCAGTACTCACCATCCAACCAGAATTTTTCTGAAATGCACATTCCATTAGTACATCAAAATTCATCATCTTCACATTCGGTGAATTCTAATTTGTCACAATTTTCTTCGTCGATACCGTTTGAACATCTTTGAATACCGTCACAAATCTCGTGCCAATCGAGACAGAGTGGGCTAGATGGACAAGGTAATGTCTCATAGCAAAGAATCTTTCCATATCGTTGAGTGTCCCATGAATTACCTGTTTGCTTTTGTTCAAACTGAGCTTTGACTGCATCATCGAACGATTCTTTCTGGTGTGTCAATTGATATTCGCAGTATTTGCCGAATGTTCCCGGCATAGTGCAGTTGCATACAAATTGATCGGCACCGTCATCAATGAATAATCGATTAAAGAAGACACTAGCATATAAATCGGCCATCTCAACACTTGAACTCCATTTGAGGATGATGCTTGGATGAGTTTCTTGTTTGATTACATCACGAAATAGTTGCTTCTCTCCTTGATTGTCACATTCAGTCCTATGTCGATTAAGAGATTGGTTTCCACCTCGACGTCGACAATATGAAATTTCCTCTCCATCATTTGGTACATAATAGAGACAATTAAATCTCTCGACCGAATTTTTGTTTTCCGTATTATAAAGTAGAACTCGACCATCCGTTATATTAAAGATTAAGACAAAAGTTACTACTACAAACGTTAATATCTTCGAACTATCTCTCATTCTGCACACTGATGTTAGCAGATAATTATTGAAACTAATCTACCTGTTGAGAGAGAGAGAGAAAAAATAGCAAAGAAGAAACACATTCACATAATAATTGTTAGTAGTATCATATTTCCTTGAATAATCACGCTGCAAACAATAGAAAAAATTAAATAGTTAAGAAATGATCAAGCAGATGAAAATTATTTTGTTTGAAAGAAACATGTCAATGACGCACAATGGTTGGACATAGAGAGTGCGGATGAATCCAGGTGTAGTCTGAATATATGTGGATTTGGGGGTATGTAGATGTCGATGTGAATGAACAGATTGTCGAGACACAGGCACATCCATCTACGCTCACACCCATGTAAGATCATGTATTAATAAATCATGATTTACTACGTATGTCGTAAAAGCAGCATACAATATTGGCGATTAGTCATGTTTCAGCTCACGATCATCGCTTCGATGAATCGTGATTTATTGACAATCTTTCGCCGATTTCGAGAACATGGGACAGCACTAGCGTAACATCGCATAATCTTATATTTATTATTGTTTTGTATGTATGTGTTTATCTTTGTCTTTTCCCATTCTTTTTTGTCAATCACTACACATAACCTTTAAATATCAATATTTTTGTTAATATTCTTTATTTCCAGTTGGTTACTTAGTAAATTCAATTGCCAAAATAGTTTACTGTGTCATTTACAATTGCATTCACTTGCATTTTAGGACGTAAGAGTATTCTTAAAAAGAATTATTACTAGATACATTTTCGTATGTGTTTTTTTCTAAATCTTGTCTGAAAACATTCATTCGACGCTATAAAGAGAAAAATAAATAGAGAAAAATAATTCATCTAAAGAAATTTCAGAGGACGTATATAATTTAAACAAAGGCAACCGTTGGAATATGCTGTCGTTTCTACGTAGAAAAAGAAACATCATAATATTACATTTTCCTTGAATTTTTTATATTAATTTCATGAAATGACTTAAATTGAAATTGCAAATATATTATTCATTCGTTTTCTCACATATTTTATTTAAAACAGTTGAACCATTTATCAAATGAGTTTTTATTGTAACTTTCACATCTCATTCTCACACTTGTAAAGAGTCCTCTCAATATCGTTTATATATATATATATATGTATATACATTCAATGGCATCAAACATTACTGCATTTGCCATAACGAATACAAATATATCGACTGAATAATTGGTTGTGACTCATTATGCTTTAATACTTATAATTCTAGGAACTTTATTAAACTCACTTACGTTTATCGTTCTCTGTCGGTCGATATTTAGAAATACAAAAGCTTGGCTAGCGATTCATTATATGCAAGCTATGACTATCCTTGATATTCTTATGTTGTCTGGATGGAATATTGATCATTATTTTTCTGTTATGCAGAGATTTAGAATTCAAACTTTAAATGTACCTTTCTGTAGATTTTTTTCATTTCTTAATTATTTTTCTTGCTAATCATCAGCTTGGCTTCGTGTTTTTGTCTGCTTAGAGCAATATTTATCACTTAGTAGTCTTCATAGGACATGATATAGTCATTCCAAATATATTCTTATTATCATTGGATGCATTATCACATGTTGTACTATATAATTAATAGTTCATTTTTAATTGTTGGTTGCTTTTACACAACCACTGGAACGGTTTCAATAGAATCTTTAGCTTTTCAAATGTATCCATTATGGGATTACATAAATTTGGGTATTTCTGTCTGTGCACCATTCATATTGATGGTTATATTGAATAGTGGTTTAATCCATTACTTAATTCAGCTTAAACGCACGACAACAATTCGAAATTCTCGGATTCAACATAAAGCTATTTCAATTACACTAGTTACTACAACATTTATGTTTCTAATTATGAGAATATCAACAACTGTAGCTTGGGGATTTTTCTATCATGCTACAACTGGAATGATTTTGAATTTATTGGATGGAATTCTTTATACCTACCATATTCTATCGTTTCCGCTATATATGACCACATTCGATAAATTTCGACAAGAATTTCATACAATGATTATATGCAATAGAAAGCATAGAAGACTTGAACCACAAATAAGACCTCGTATGGTAGCAACAACATTGAATGCAACAAAAGTGACGACGTAAATTTGGAGACAAAGCTTAACTTGAAAAATACTGTCGCATATGGATCTAAATCAACAAACAACCCACATCGAACTTATGTTTCTATGTAATAAAATCCACCGATAGGTAATAAGAAAAACTACTTGAAAAAAGTATGAATCTTGCTATTGGCTTCAACGGTGACCATTCAGTTCGTGGCATGCAGTGGGGATTAAAACTTAGAAGAATTTAAAATTGTTGTAAGCCAAAAGAAACACTTTAATTCTTTCTATAGGAGAAGGTGTAATATTCCTGCAGGAAAAATTAAAATTCTAGTTGTTCGTGAGATACTTTTAAATTATCTTAAACCTTAATTTCTCCTGTAACATATTGCTTTTTGAGATAGGCATATTTGTATCATCGATAATAGATACGGTTTGAAGAAACAAATGATTTAGTTTCATAAAGAGGGTGTGGGTGTGGGTGGGTGTGTGTATTTACTTTATGTTCATTCACCCTCACACCTACACCCACACTCACATCACCCACATCCACACCCCACCCACACCCACCCACACCCACACGCACACCACACCACACCCACACCCTGAATGAAAGAGAGAGAACAATGCAACCTATTACTTTCGTTTTTTAAATAGCATAGAACTGTGCCACTATGAAAACAAGAAAAAGAAACAGAAAAGCAGACACGATGTCTAGACTTTTTCTATCTGTCCATCTCTAAGAGAAATTTCGTAATTTAAAAAAATTGCACTAGCTGAAAATAGGATCCGGATCGCCCGTGTGGCAGGCGAGCATTCTACCGTTGAACCACCACTACTGACCGTTATTCACGCATATTGTACATACAATGATACATCACGAGCGCAGATTTACCAGCATCAGATTGTCAGACAGGCAGTGACTGATATAGTGCTTAATCTTCCATGAGTCTAGGTTGAAATTAGCTGATCCGGATGATGCAAAACGAATAGGATGAATATAGTTACTGGTCGTATAAATAATGAATAAAGTTATATGAAAATGTTTGCAGTAGGAATAATTGAAACATTTCAAATGATTTTATCACTCCTTCCATGAACATATGAACTTATGAGAGAACAAAATTTAAATGGTTCATTTCTGACATGGTTTTGAAGAATTTAATATCAATCTGCCTATTGAATTATTTCCCTGAGACGCAGATTGTTCATTATATTGCTTCGGTGTATTCAGTCGTTTCAACACCCGCCACCACGAAACAGAACGAAAAAAATTGACATAATCTCCGTGAGAAGAGTTTTGCATTTGCACTCTTGTGGTGAAATTACATAATTATAAAAAGTAAAATTGCACCAGCCGAGAATCGAACCCGGGTCTCTCGCTTGGCAAGCGAGTATTCTACCATTGAAACACTAGTGCTTATAAATCGCTGGTTTATCATATATATGGAATAATACATAAAGTGTAAGACTTAATGAAACCCACTCGATGAATCGGAATGAATTTATTTCGAGCTAATTCGAAATTCGGTAATATCTACAAAGTTACTAAGCAGACAATCAAATTATTTCTCAGATCTATATCAATCATTTGATTGAGATATAAACTAACAAAACACCGCATGCAAATTTTACATTGCTTCGGTCAGGATAGTTATTGTGGAAGGGTGTGAGTGTGGGTGTTGGTGTTGGTGGTGTGGGTGTGGGGTGTCGGTGTGGTGTAGTGAAAACAAGACTCACAGCCACACCCACATCCACGCCCACAGCCACAGCCACACCCACCCACGCATACCTACACCCACATAACCCACACCCCACACCCATCACACCCACACCCACGCCCACCCCACACCCACACCGACCACACCCACACCCACACCCACACCCACACCCAACACCCACAGCCACACCCATATCTTTAGGATGAAAACTTGATATGGTAATGAATATTGCTAGTGGAATGAGAAAAATACATGAACATCGAATGATACATAGAGATATTCGACCTGATAATATTCTTGTAAATGAAAATTATGTAGCTAAAATTGGTAATATGGAAATAGCACGTGTTATTGATCCTTTAAATCAACATACACAAATTGAATGTGCACCATATATGCCACCAGAATTCTATCGTGGTACTTATGATCAAAAGCTCGATATTTTTACATTTGGTTTAACATTAAATGAACTTTTTACTTCAAAAAAACACATATTTCAGATGTTAGCTAGTAACAAAATTGCTTTTCAAGAAGAAAGTCCTATATTTGTTGATTTGATCGCTCGATGTACTGCTGATGATCCTAAACGACGTCCGACAGCAATAGAAATTGAAAAAACTCTTGATCTATATATTACTGTTTTCAATGAAATTATACTTAAAAAACATCCAAGTTATATGAATTTGTCTACTGAAGATAAAAATGAAATATTTATTGCTTTCTATCAAAAATTTCATCCACTAGCAACTGAATTTATTCGTAAGAAATTTCCATCTGAATTTCTTGATAATTCAGAAAATGTACCTGGAGTTAAAGTTGATAAAGATGCTGGTAATCAAATTCGTATAGAATGTCCCATGCAATAATTCTTTTAATAATATTCAATCTAACATTTAATATTTTTGATCCTGACTATAAATTCATTTTTCTACATGCTCATCAACTCTAATATTTCTAAATTTAGAATTTTTCTTGTTCTCCTAATATTTAATTAAGATTTTCATTATAATTTACAAAAAAAATTTTTCATTTTCACAAATTTACATCATTTTCTAGATATTTCAACTATATAGTTATGAGTTCAACTTCATTTGGTAAAAAACAATGCATGTTGTGTAACAAAATTGGCGGTATATTGAATTGTGACGGATGTCAACAAGCTTTCTGTGGTAAACATGGCATTGAACATCGACAACAACTTAATATTGAATTAGAAAATATAATGCAAGAACATGATTTAATTCAACAAGATATTGGATTATCAATAGATAATGATTTATTATTGAAAGAAATTGATAAATGTGAATAAGAATCTATGAAAAAAATTCAATTAGCAGCTGAAAACGTTCGAACTGATCTAAAACAAATTCTTGAAAGTTTAAATAATCAAATTTTAAAAACATGTCGAAATGTTGCATCGAAACTTCTTTCTGCACGAGAAGCTGAAAATTTTTCAGAAATTGATTTAAAACGATGGACAGAACAATTAAATGAACTTAAATCACAAATAAAATTATTATTCATGATTCATATTGTAGAAGATAATAAGTCTCCTGTTTATCTCATTGAGATAAAACAAACTAACAATGTAAATGCATACATAAAAAACAAAGAATTATTATCATTTAAAAGAATTGAAGAAAGATTTATTGAAGGAAATGGTTTAGCTATAATCGAATATGGTGGTCTTCGTATCAAACATATTGATGGTGATCATAAATTTATTTATTTTCGTGGTCAAAAATCTTATACGAATGGTTGTCATACATTGCAATTTAAAATTGAACATAGTACAGGTTCTTATGATACTTTTATTGGTATTTGTTCATCTGATATTAATTTACGACAGATTATGTATCATTTAACTGTTG